TCTCAAGACAAGAGTGGCACTACTACTCCAGTTCTATCAGAAAATATGATCTATCAAATAAACAAACTGGAACAAATAAGCATTTATCAAAGTTGGGGTATTTTGTTGGTGAACTAAACAATAATGGTTATAATTACGAAAGCAATGAGCATTATGTTGCGTTCTTAAAATATGTTCGCTTTAGTCAGAAGATTAAATAAAGTTGCAATTAACGAAATTGTTTTATTTTTCCAAAATTGTTTTCCCTCGAATAATACTTTCAAACGTCAAAACGGAAATTGACAGATTGATTTTTTTAGGTTGGTAGCAACGTAGACTTGTTCATAATATTGCTAGCATTGAAAATGTCAATTTTTATTCTCCGTTTGTGTATCTAATTAGTCAAGAGTCCCGTCTCTTATTTTATATACTCTTTGATTGTAATAGTTGAATAGAGTTCCCGGGATTTGTATGTAAATTGAATCTTTCCTCTTTCAGATTCAATCTCAACATAAAACGAATAAAGAATAAAATTATTTAAAATTGCATTATTATATTAGTATTAAGTTCCTTTTTCCCTTTTATATTTATTACAAAGTAGTTTAAGACATTAGTTAGAACTCTTTGTCGCGAATGGCTTTCATTTCAAGGTCAACTGTCAGAATGATTAGTGAGGGGACATTGACATTTTAATAATACTAGTGTTGCGATACACCGGCACTGTATCGGTTCTTCCTAATAGTTTTTTTTTTATTGTTAAGGGCCTTTTAAATAAAACAAAGCTAATGTCAAATATTTAATATTATACTCTGTCTGATAGAGTTTATGTACACTCTTTTATTTTCACCGTTAGCAACAACCTCCGCGTAGACACATCTAAAAAAAAACTAAATGAAAATACATCTTACAAACTAGAGAAAAAAATGCATATTTTTTTAATTCAATTAAATGGCAAACATTTAAAAAAAAATAACATTTTTCACCTTCCACAAATTTTCAGCACACAGGCTCTTTTAAATATCCAAAAAAAGACATTAAAAAAAACAGTTGATATTTAAAAAAAACCTATTGTTCGTAATATTTTTATTCTTCACTAATTTTTAAATCAAGTGACATTTTCGGTTAGGACATTATTTTCGTTCAATCAGTCACAAATGTCAGAGAATTTTGAAACAAAATTAAATTACAGTAAGATTTTACTCAAAAAGAGCCGTCACTAAAGATCTATGTTTTTGCATCGATAGTGACTGAGTCAAATTTGACCGTCAACTTGAAAAAAAATTAAACAAAACAAGAGAAAAATTCATTCATTCCTTTTTTGTACTTCAATATTTATTTTTAATAATACTTTTAGAGAAAAGCAACTAATATTCTTCAATATTAAATCTCAATAAAGTTTTAAAACATCAAACACCTTCACACAATTGAGGTTATCTTCCATCTCATTTCCTCAAAGAGTTTCACATTAGTAAGAAAGAGATACATATAACTACGGGATAAAAACTTATAAAGAGGTTGCGATAGTGCTAAAGCGTACCTAAAATAGTACTTATAGTTTAAACCGTCACTAAATTTGTAAACTACACTTAAAATTTCTATTATCGTGAGAATAAACTAGAGCAATTAATTGTACCAGAATAACGAGCCACTCCATATTTTCTACTTTTTCCCTTTTACGAACCAAAACATGCTTTGGAAAGTGTTTTTTTTTACTGTTGTTGAGTGCATAATTAACATTCTGCCAAATACGTGGCATAATGACCAGAACCTTTGCCTTTTTCGTTATAAAAAAAATAAATGTCAATCAACAATGGCGCGGGAAATGAAGAACGAATTAATAATAGCATAATGACCAGAACCTTTGCCTTTTTATTTAAAAAAAAATATAACTAGAGAATGGCGCGGAAAATCAAGAAAGAAATGTCGCGAATAATGTTCAATTAAATAATAGTGGCATAATGGACAGAACCTTTGCCTTTCAATTAAAAATAAAAGTGAAAATACAAAATGGCTCGGAAAGTGAAGAACGAAATGTCACGAATAGTACTCAATGGCATAATGGCCAGAACCTTTGCCTTTCTATTAAAAAAAAAAGTATGTAAAAAGAAAATGGCGCGGAAAGTGAAGAACGAAATGTCACGAATAGTACTCAATGGCATAATGGCCAGAACCTTTGCCTTTCTATTAAAAAAAAAGTGAAAATAGAAAATGGCTCGGAAAGTGAAGAACGAAATGTCACGAATAGTACTCAATGGCATAATGGCCAGAACCTTTGCCTTTCTATTAAAAAAAAAAGTATGTAAAAAGAAAATGGCGCGGCAAGTGAAAAACGAAAATTGACATAGAAATTTTTTACTTGAAAAAATTCTCTAGTGTAGTTAAGAATAAAAGGAAGAGAATTTACTTGATTTTATCATCGCCACTATTTAATCTTACACAAATAAATCAATATAAGAACTCTGACAGATGACAACTCTGATACACTAAAATTACCTATAGCATTCAGTTTCCAAAATGGCCAAAAAAAAATCCAGTGCAATATTTTACAAATCTAGTGACGGCAAATTTTAACCTTAATTATTTAATATTAAGAATATTTAAAAGGCAAATCATAGTTTCAACCTAAAATGCGTTTTTATAAACCTTATATTGTTTTTGTATTGCTGAATTATAATCTAATTATACAAAAAACCCGAGAGAAAATATTAAAAGACTTCAAAAAGAAGGTTATCAATTTATCTGTTTTTTTTTTATATTTTTTTTTTAATCTAAAGGTATTACGTGATTACCCATCTTACTAATATTATAAATGCGAATGTTTACATGGATGTTTGTTAAAAGGCATCTCCAGAACATAGATTGGAAGAACACACGCTACTTTTTAATTACATTTTTTATAATCGCGCAGACGGAGTCGCGGGCCACAGCTAGTATTTGTATAATTCATTTCAACACTTTCAAAGCATTATTTGTCGAATTTTACTGTATTAAGGTACATTTTTACTTGATTTTTTTTGATAACTTTTGTTTGTCTCAGGTTTTTAGTATAATAGAAACATGTCATATAATATGCTTTACTCGCGCAGTTTCAACGCGTGATCCTTGATGGCGCCACCATCGCCTTCGGACACGAAACGTTTACGGCCTCTGCAAGCAAAACAAGACTTTTGTAAATAAAAAACAATGTACATTTGTCATGTTAGTGGTAGGTGACAAGGTTCAAGCTGGTATTGATAGGTGACAAGTTTCAAACTGTCATTGACAGGTGACAAGTTTCAAGCTGTCGTTGACAGGTGACAAGTTTCAAGCTGTCGTTGACAGGTGACAAGTTTCAAGCTGTCGTTGGCAGGTGACAAGTTTCAAGCTGTCGTTGACAGGTGACAAGTTTCAAGCTGTCGTTGACAGGTGACAAGTTTCAAGCTGTCGTTGACAGGTGACAAGTTTCAAGCTGTCATTGATTAGTGACAAGATTCAAGCTGTCGTTGACAGATGACAAGGTTCAAGCTGTCATTGATTAATGACAAGGTTCAAGCTGTCATTGATTAGTGACAAGGTTCAAGCTGTCATTGATTAGTGAC